TGGAGGCAATGGTAGTTTCTCAGAAAGGTCCTGCTTGGAGCCAGCCTTGACTAAGGCTTTAGCTGAAGCTTGTTTTTCAACTTTTTTCTTCAAGCTCTTGAGCTTAGCTGAGGGCTTGGTCTTGCAGGAAGCTTTGTTCTTGATGGAAGCTTTGAAGGCTAGGCTGAGTTTTTTCTTAGGCTTGCTTTTCTGCCTGGCCTCAGGCTGGAGCTCAGCCAAAGCTTCATCTCTGCTCATGCCTGATAGTTTCTCAGCCACTGTTTGCACAAGTTTGCTCTTGTGCTTCCTCAGCAGCTTTCTGAGCTTCCTCTGCCTGGCCCTCTTAACAACATCTTTATCTTTCTTGCTTTGATACTCAGCAGCCCCCATTCTTCTGATTTGGGCTCTTCTGAGGGAAGGATGAATCCTCAGGGACAGGGACAATGAGTTTTGAAGTTCTAGCTCCAAGTCCTCAGCAATGGCATCAGTGATCTCTGGCTGGATGTCTTCCTCAGTGCAGTCCTTCTCATCCTCAGGGTTGTAAAGTCCCAGATTTGGAGGTCTGAGATTTGCTTCGCTGTGCTGCTCAGACTCCAATCTGCCTTTGCAGGGACTCCCTCAGAATCTCTCCACTTGAGCCTGTCTCTGAGCCACTCAGGGCTGTACCTCTTGGTGCCAACCTCTAAGCCAATCTCCTTAGCCCAGCTCTGAGACAGGAGTTCTACAAGCATCCCTGAGGCTGGATCAGGCCTGTAGACCAGGATCCCATTCCTCACTGCAGCTCTGAGGACCCATTCATCTTTGAGGTTCTTCTCAGCTATTGCTTCTTGAGCTGCCACAACTGCAGTGACAATTTCTAAGGGGCCAACTTTCCAAACTGAGTGCTCCACCTTTCTCTGGGTCTGCCACTGGGCTCTGAGATCAATGAGCTTGTGTCTCACTAAGGCCTTGAACTGCTTAGCAAAATCAGTGTCAGTGATTTGCAACTTAGAGGTGCACTTCTCAGCCACAAGGCAGCTTAACTGATTTGCTAAGGCCATGGACTCAGTGGCTGAGTCACTGAACACTGAGGAGAAGCAATCCCTCATCCAAATGGATGCAGGGTACTGGGCAGCTTGAGCCTGGATGCTCCAGCTGAGGATAACTGAGTCCACATTGGCTGCAAGCTGCTGCATGATCTCAACCTTAGACATGAGCTCAGGGTGGCTCTGCCTCAGCCTCCTGTAGGGCAGCATGACTCTCCCAGCTGAGCTTCCCTGAGTCCTTGTGATGACCTTATCACCAATTTTGAAGGTTTCATCACTGAGCCAGGTGCCACTCTCTGAGATGTTGCTCAGTCTGGCCCATTCACCTGGCACAACTAACAGCCCTTTGCCAACTGAGCCAATGATCTCCTGAGACTCATCGGCATAAACTGAGTGCAGGAGCTGCCTGGCTTCATATGTGATCCTGTATCTATCCTCCCCTGAGATTCCAATGAGAGTGGTGGATCCTGGCTGAGGCAAAGCTGGCTTGGCTGCTGGTGCTGAGGGCTCAGTTGGGCTTGCTGCATCTTTCTGAATGCTGGCTTCTGCATCTTGCTGAGGGCTGGCTGGGACCATTTGCTCAGCATCTCCTGGAGCAGGGCTGGCTGAGCCAAAGAGACATTGCTCAGATTTGCTGGGTGGAGATGAATCAAAGCTGCCCTGCTTCACCAGAGAATCTTGCTCAGGTTGGCTGGCTGGAGGGCTGCTGGCTGCTGATGCAAAGCTGAGCTGCCTCACTACTGACTCCTTGGGGGGTGACTCAAAGCTGAACTTTCTTTGAGGCTGAGGTGTGGATGGTACAATTGGCCCTATCAGCATGTCAGGCCCATGCTCTGAGTGCATGGCTTCACTGATGGCTAGCCTGACTGAAGAGTAATCCTTGACATCAGCTGAGGCATGCAGTTCCTCCTCAGCAAAGGCAGCTCTTCTACCCGTAGCCTTAGCCCACAAAGGCACCTGATCAGAGAATCCAATGACCAACTGAGACCTTGCTGAAATGAACTGGGCAGGGCTGCTGAGCCTGTTGCTGTCAGCTAATGTCTGCTGAGATGCACATGTTGCTAGCCACAATGTGTGGTCAAACTCTTGCCAGGTCAGCTTGGTCCTGGTTTGGGCTTCTACCTGAGAGATGTTTGTAACTAGCTCAGTGGACATGTACTTAGCATCAAGCCATTTGGCCAGCTGAGTCTTAGTCTTTCTCCTGTAAGGGTCACTGTTGCAGAGCTTCTCTTTCCTGACTTCTCTGTCCTTAGCATCTGCCAGAAGCTCAGCCCTCTTTAGTGCAGGTATCTCAGGCACCTGAGCATTGTTTCTAAGCTCATTGGCTGTGAGCTGAAGCCTACCAAGATACTCAGCAAGCAAATCCTGCTTAGCAATGGTGTGGCCACATGCTCTTTCAATGCTGAGCCACTGCTTCATTTTTGAAATGATGTCTGGGAAGGGAACCTTTCTGCCAGCTCCTGAGGCCCTTTTCCTCTTGGAAGTCTGATGCACACGCTTACATGTGAGGTCCTTCTGAGCTACAAGAACTTTCCAATGCTCTTCCTCAGACAAGATGTTCTTCAGAGCATCCTTTCTGATGCCATACTTCTCCACCTGAGCTGCCCAGAAATCTTGTAGACTGCTGAAAGAGTCTTTGGCTGCCTTCATCTCCTGGCAATATTTCAACTTAATACCAGCTGAGACTTCAACTCTTTTATTGTATGAGCCTGGTTTTTTTCTGTTTGTTGACTGAGGGCTGGCTTTTGGAGATTTGTCTGGCTCTCTAGTCATCAATATCTTTCTTTTCTGTGCTGCCTCAATAAGCTCAGGTTCATTTGTGGCTTGTGAAGCTTCAAACTCAGCTTGCTGTCTGAGTGCTTCATTCTTTTCTCTGAGAGCATCTTCCTGAAATCTGCCAAGCCTCTGCCTTTTGTAAGGCTGAAGTTGCAGATGCAATGGCACTGGCTGAGCTTCTTTCTTCTCTTTTGCTGAGCCAAAGAACTTGCCCAGGCCATACTGTACCTTTCCTGAGCTGGCTGGTGAAGACTCAGGGCTGCCAGTGGCATCCTTCTCAGGTGTAGCTTCAGCTCCTCCACCTCTAGCTCTGACTTGCTGAATCACCTTAGTCAGCAAGAAGCCACCATGAAGGTAGCACATGAGTGGCTTTGTTACTCAATAATATAATTGTCTGGGTGGTACTCTATTGTGAGCACCAACTTTTTGGAGTGAAAAAAAACAAAACCCTTTCTCCACCTTTCTTTGAGTAAATCTGGTGCCTTTACTTCAGAAAGCTATATTTGTGTTAAAGCTTTAAAATGCAAGGTTTCCCAAATAATTAGATGCCTTATTAAACCCTTATTAAAAAACAGCACTCAGACAATTTTTCAAGGGGGTACCTCATGAGTGGCTCAGTTACTCAATAATATAATTGTTTGGATGGTACTCTATTGTGAGCACCAACTTTTTGGAGTGAAAAAAAAAACAAAACCCTTTCTCCACCTTTCTTTGGGTAAAGCTGGTCCTTTCACTTTAGAAAGCCATATTTGTGTTAAAGCTTTAAAATGCAAGGTTTCCCAAATAATTAGATGCCTTATTAAACCCTTATTAAAAAACAGCATCCAAACAATTTTTCAAGGGGGTACCTCATGAGTGGCTTTGTTACTCAATAATATAATTGTCTGGGTGGTACTCTATTGTGAGCACCAACTTTTTGGAGTGAAAAAAAAAACAAAACCCTTTCTCCACCTTTCTTTGAGTAAATCTGGTGCCTTTACTTCAGAAAGCTATATTTGTGTTAAAGCTTTAAAATGCAAGGTTTCCCAAATAATTAGATGCCTTATTAAACCCTTATTAAAAAACAGCACCCAGACAATTTTTCAAGGGGATACCTCATGAGTGGCTCAGTTACTCAATAATATAATTGTCTGGATGGTACTCTATTGTGAGCACCAACTTTTGGGAGTAAAAAAAAAAAAACAAAACCATTTCTCCACCTTTCTTTGGGTAAAGCTGGTCCTTTCACTTTAGAAAGCCATAGTTGTGTTAAAACTTTAAAATGCAAGGTTTCCCAAATAATTAGATGCCTTATTAAACCCTTATTAAAAAATAGCACCCAGACAATTTTTCAAGGGGGTACCTCATGAGTGGCTTTGTTACTCAATAATATAATTGTTTGGATGGTACTCTATTGTGAGCACCAACTTTTGGGGGTGAAAAAAAAAACAAAACCCTTTCTCCATCTTTCTTTGGGCAAAGGCCCCAGGATGTCTGAGATGTCCAAGCCCTGAAGGACATTGAGTTCCTCCTGCCTGCTGAGAGCTCCTTTGAAGTAATGAACTGCTGAGCTGTAGTAATTGAGCCACTGCTCAAAGGATTTGCTGAGCTTCTTCATCTCCTAGCTGGTTCAATGAAAGATCTCAAAGATATAAACATAATTTAACTATACAATGAATTGTAATTATAATGAGTTTACCTCAAGCAGCTCAGATGCACAAAATTATACTCAAGTGCCAACAAGCTTCATCCCTGAGCAGCTGCATCTGAGTGACCAGGGCTCTCAAGTTACTGAGTGGCTTCAAAAGGATGCTCAGGGTGAAGAGGAGCAAAGAAGTGAATGCAAGCCATCCCTGAGTTTTGCAACATTGCATTCATGTTACAAGAGTCACCTTTACCTACATAATAAGAAACTTGTTGATAAAATAGAAAATTGAAAACATGAAAATAGGCAACACTAAGCTGTGCCCAAGGTCAAGCTCAGCTGAGGAAAAAATAGGATTGAGGTCCTTCAGCCTCACTGCCAGGTCAATAGCATTGCAACCTGAAGTGCAGGCTTGGTGCAAAACAAGATTACACTAAGAAAAGAGCTAGTTGCCTAATTAATTAAGTAATTAGTCAATTAATCATACCAAATGATTACTAACTAATTAATTAACTAATTACTTACTGATGTTGGATACTGAGGCAGACTCCTTTTTCCAAAAACGCTGCTCAGGTAAGCTGAGCCCTTGAATTGTCTCAGAATTCATTCTGAGCCTGTAGATCACTGAGGTGCCATTCCACCTCAGCTTCAATGTTCCACTGAGAAAGTAGGTCAGGCTCAGCCACATCTGAGAGGTCTATGCTGCTAAGCACATTGAGCCTCTCAGCCTTGGTTCTGAGTCCTACTTCCCTGCTATGTGCACTGAGCCAATGTTGCTTAGCACAGCTGAAAGCATGTGCTGAGGCCAGCAGCTCATGGATGCCATTCTCAGGTTGGTGGGCCCAAAGTGCTGAGAGCTCAGGTCGCTGAGTGTTCTCCACCACCAGGGTCCCCTGCCTGAGCTCTTCATCTGAGGCAGTCCTGCTGTAGAGTGCCTGAGCTGGCTGAAAAGGTTTCAAGAAACCAACAGACATCAACTAAAAACATCCAAGAACATGTTCCTCTTCACAAAAAAAGGAAACCAAATGCATTCAAGTACCCTGAGGAATCGATTGTACATGACACCCTCCCTGGTGGCTAAGATAGCAGTGCTCAGCAGCAAGTCCCACTCTGTGAACTGAGCTTCTGAGTCCCAGTGGGAGACAGGTCCACTGAGAAGTGCCCAGCGCTTCTTCACTAAGAATTCTGAGAACAAAGCTGCACCACCTGCCTGAGGGTCAAACTCTTCAAAATGCTGCTTGAGGTGCCTCAGGGTGTCCCAGGTACTTCCTCCAGCCATATCCATCCTGAGCTCCATGGCCCTGACCTTCTCTGAGATGAAGTCAAGCCTCTGCTGAGAATGATCAGAAGCATACCAAAGGTCATCTCTGAGGTTCTGCAGAACCTGCACCAAGGTGCTGAGCTCAGTCTTGAGGCCCAGGAGGAAGATGAAGCAAAGAGCCAAGACTGAGAGCCCAGCCTGGTGTTGTTTTGTGCTTCCATGCAAAAAAACAAGTAGTTTTTACCATTGGCCTAAGCAATTTTTTACAGCTGATCCAAGTATGGTACTGCTTGCTGTCAAGAAGCAAGCTGGGGTGCATGAATGACATCTGATAGCTGGCTGAGCCTAGCCTGTAGGTCCACTGAGGTACCACCTAGGGCTACCATCTGAGGAATGAACAAAAACATGTTGAACCATGCAATTCAAGGACCCAAAAACAAGTTGTTATGTAGCTGAGATGCTAGCCAAGCTGATGCCTGTGCTGCAAGCAAGAGCCATGATGCACACCATCTTCAGCTGAGGCCCCATGGCTCCAAGAGAAGGACTGATGCTGATGAAGGTGGCTGATACTGATGCTGATGAGAAAAAGCTGCTGAGGCACATGGTGCTCAAGAGGCTGAGATGCTGAAGACAGACTAGCTCAGGCTACTGTGTCTAAGACCAGGTTTATCTCCTGCAAAATAATTAATTAGTTAATTAATTATTAGTTAATTAATGATAAATAATTAATTAATTAGAAATTGTTGAGGGGTGGGTTCCTCACACTAGTCAGGACACAAAATTAAGGTGCAAGCTCAGGAACTTGAGAGGCTCAGCCCAGATGAAGCCACCAAGCTGAGGATCACAAAGGCCTTCAGCTGAAGATTCATGGCTGTAGCCTTGGCTGCCATGGAAGCACATAGAAGCACATGCCATTAATTGATTATGTTTTAGTTCATCCTAAAATTTAAAAGAATAACCAGAAACAAAAACAGGACAAAACTTGATTGAGAAGCAAGGAAGCAAATGCAGTTGCAACTGGGTGCTCAGAGTGCTGAAGCTTGGATGCTGGATGCTGCTGTGGTAGCATGCAGGCCCAGAACAGCCCTAGATGAAAACTTAGAAAGAAATGTCACCAACTGAGGGTGGCCAACACTCAGTGCCAATGCTTAGCAGTGGCTGCAGCCAACCTAAGTATGCCTAGTATGTTAAGTTATATAAATGCTACTTTAGATAGCCTTTCCTTTAGATAGCCTTTCCTTCATTAGTAGTGACTGCAACCTTCCCTTGTCATGCTAAGTCAAATCTCAGTGGTTGCTGCCAGCCCCAAGCAACTTTTTTTGATATCTGATGCTGTTCAAGAGCTGATGCATGCTGAGAATGCATCAAGGAGACAAAAATCATGACCAAGTCATGGCTGAGGGTTGCTTAGGCTGTGCCCAGCTTCTAGAAAGTAGAAGTCACCTAAGCTCCATCAGAAGTGCATCTGCTGAGTCATACTGTGCTTGCTGAGATAGATGCAGATGATGTAGCCCTGATACTTTTCTTCACATCTTCAGGTCCTGCCAGGGGGAACAGTATAAGGACAAGGTCAACTACATGGGCACTGAACTAAGAAGAATCACTACAATGTATTAATTATAATGTGTATTTCTTGGTAATTAAACTAGTTCAAAAAAAGCAATGGCAACAACAACAGAAACAGCAGCAGCATTGACACATTTTCCCTGCCAGCTGCTTGCCATGGCTTGTGATGTTCAAAAAAAATAAGGTAATCTGTTAATTACCTAGATTCATCGTCAAGCTAGTGTTCATCCTCAGGTATTACCTGAGTCTCCCTCTGGCTTCTCAATCCTTTGCTTCTTGCTGAGACCAGGGGGCTCAGAAACTTGATCTTCAGGAATTGGCTTCTTACCATCTTTCTGCCTTTTCTGATGCAGCTCCAGCAAAGCCTCAGGGCTCAGACCAATAGCATCCATCTGACTGAGAATCTGCTGGGCCTGCTCTTCTTTTAGCTTCCTCAGTTCCTCCTGAGCCTGTGCCATCTCTTCCTCCTCCTTCTTCTGAGCCAGGAAACCTTTCAGCTTCTCCTGAGCATCTAAGATGTCAAGCCTGAGCTGACCTAAGACACCTTGCTCCTCAGCCATCTGCTGGGCATCTGTGAAGATCCTCTGCATAGTGTTATCCTGAGCAGCATAGGCTTGCTCAACAAGCAGAAGCTTCTGAGAGATGATAGCTTCCAGCTCCTGCACATCTGAGACATCAGGACTAAGGTCCATCATCTTCAGCTGATTGATAGCCTGCCTGATGCCATTCTCAGGGTCAATCTGAGCAAGCAATGACTTGCAGTACCCCTGAGCAAAGGTGCTGTCATCAGTCTGAGCAGCCATAGCAAAGGTAGCAGCCTTAGGTGGCTGAGAAGGTTCAGCATCAGGTTCAGCTTGAGGTTGCTGACAACCAGGAGGCTCAGCAGGCTTAGATGGCTGCAGTTTGTGCTTGAACTGAGCTGTCCAGTAAGGTTTTGAGACTAACTTCTGCCAAGGCAATGGGGTCATGTTGAGAATCACCTGATAATACTGAGCAATGACTCTCTGAGGCCACCCATTGACATCCTGCAAGGTTGCAAAAGATGTGAAGAAAGCTTTCAATCAGATATTAAAACTTAGTAA